CATTGACCCTTTACTGACCCGCACATATCATGAAATTGATTGTTGATAATATCACAAACAATAGCATGACCCTAAAAGGTCAAGGTTATTCTAGATCTGCCTCTCTTTGAATGTTACAGACGTCACTACAGGTAAGGATGCTTTCTAAAAATTCACAAAAACTTAAAATCATCGGTAAAAGTTTTATCAAATATGAATGGGGATGACTTCACAGTGTTTGGAGATAAGCATTTGTATATTGGGATTATTCTGTCTCAACTACTTGTTGTGAGTGTTACACACAAAATTATAAATGTAGGTTCCACTCCAGGTCACAAGTAAAAATCAATTTGCAATAGTATAATCATCATATGCAGTGTATAAACAAAAATCCCTAAATACAGGAGTAGAATTTTGTTGACAATATATTGTACATAGATTTATGAAGCACTAACTGCAGGTCACATCAATTTATATATATATATATATATATACCTGATGTATTGTATGGATAGTAATTCCTAAACTGATAGGAAGGAGAATAATGAGTGAAAATTAAAACCTGTTGAGATCCGACCTGTCTCTACATATATACATTATCATAAGTTGTGCTGACACAGTATCATTGGTTGGTCAAGTTTTTGTAAACTCTAAGGTACATTATACATCTATTTTAATATCGTTTTACACCTAACAAGGTCGTTTGTTGAAATACAAGTCCTACCTGTTGGGCATGACCTAATATGATGTCAGCAGAATTAACAGTGATAGCTATACATTATATATATAAGAATTCCAGGGACCGCTGAATTTGAACTGAATACTAATGAAGGAAAACATTAAGGTGTTGAAATATTATCAGATAAAAACAAAATAAAGCATTATTCATTCGTAAATCAGGTGTTAACTTGTCGATTTAAAGTGACTAGAATTTCTAGGACAGTGATACCGATATCGGGTATATAGATACATGTATATATATTTACAAAAAATTGAAAACTGCATGAAGATTGGATTCTTGAGGCCTTTCGCTGCCACACAGCTCTTCAGGAGAATGATTTTTATTTTGAAGGTTAAATCAACCAATGAAACAATAAACCAGGTAGGTAATTGTGACATTATATTATATACACCGTAGTGATGTGAGGTCACCAACAATAAACAATCAAGCATCTTCAGGAGTTTCTGCTACAAGTTTTTACCCTATCCAGATCAAGTATATATGTTTACATACATACACATAGCTACTAGAAGTATCCCTGGACATAATACAATCACCACACCACTTACAAATAAAAGTAAATGGTGGAACTACTGGAATATGGCCTGATCTGGATCGGTCTTCTTGAGATTTTTAATATTTTGGTATCATATGAGATTGTGCATCTGGTTTTGTGGGATAGCCATTCACTCACATACCAAAGCTGTTCCCAGCTCCTGGAGCGTTCTTGGCAGAACGTTTACGGCAGAGAGAGCTTTTTGCAGCATGTCCCACACATGCTTGATGGGATTTAGATCCGTCGAGCGGGCTGGCCACTCCATTCGTTGAATAGTCTCTTGCTGTAGATACTGCTCAGTCACCCTTGCTCTATGTGGCCTAGCATTATCGTCCAGAAGGATGAAGTCAGGGCCGATAGCGCCAGCATAGGGTCTGACATAGGCATCAAGGATTTCATCGAAGTAAATCCGGGCTGTAACAGTACCATAATGGAAGACATGGAGGTCAGTTTTCCCACAAAGGCTTATGCCTCCCCACACCATCACTGAACCTCCGCCATATCGGTCATGTTCCACAGCGTTACCTGCCTGGAACCTCTCCCTAGGTTGTCACCATACTCTAATACGCCTGTTGGTGAAGTCGAGACAGAATCTGGACTTGTCACTACAAAGAACCGGTTTCCATTCCTGAAGAATCCAAGTGCTGTGAGCTTGGGCCCAATCTAATCGGCCCCTAACATGGCGGGAAGTTAAGGGAACTCCTATTGCTGGTCTACTATGACCTGAAACCAGCATCATGAAGACAGTTCCTAGCTGTCTGAATGCCCACCCAGTTACCAGAAGCATTTAGGAGGTCATTTCGTAAAGCTGTGGCAGTCTGGAACCTGTGACGCCGTGCCTGTACCAGCAAGAATTTTTGCGCTGCGTTGTAGCCCTAGAAAGACCTCCAGCATGACGTCTGGAAGGGTTTCCGTTTGGAATCAATTCCACATTCTTGCCACCATACTTTGAGACACCCCAAGGTCTGCTGCAACCTGACTCTCAGACATGCTAGCTTGCAGCATTCCGTTGTCTGCTTTGTCTTTGTGCCGTATTAAAACAAAAACACACAAAGAATATTCATCAAATTAATTACCTTAACAATTTGAACAATGCCTTACTTAGCCTAGCTTAGCTTTTGAAAGGGGTGTACACGTGGAAACGCGTGCATACACTTTCATTTTTAACACACCCACACAGGACAATTTGGAAGGCTAACATATTCGCCAAAAACAGTACGGAAGGAAAATATAATATCCTTTCTAACATTTTGATTTGTTTTTCAAAATAAAGGTGATCCTTAGCAAAATGTGAGAAGTATATATTTATATATAAGAATTGCAGGGACCTCTGAATTTGCATATCAGATGAAAACAAAATAATGCATTATTCATTTGTAAACCAGACAGGCTTAAACTTGGCAAATTAAATGAACAGAAAGTCTACGGTCTAGTTTTTTTTAATATTTTTGACATGTTCTGAATATTAATACATACAATAGGAATGTTGAATAAATACATAGAACATTTATATAGGAAAATATTCACAAGGTATTGTATGTCATGTATTTTGTATTGTATACATACCAAGTAATACGGTACAGACTACGGCTATAACGTATCGTATCTTACTGCGATATTTATTACAGTAACTTTCTTGTGTATCGTATCAAATTGTTTTGTTTGCCTGTATTGTGATACACTAACAGTAGGTAAATTATCAATCATTTTTTTTATCAAACTCTAAAAAAGTGTACTTATATTTTTTGAATCCTTCAGTAAAGATGTGGTCCACTGTGCAGTCATACCCTAAAGTACTAAAAATTATACAAAAATATATTACAGTAGTATTTACTATTGAAGTCTGTGACAAAACTCGATAAAATCCTGCACTCAATTATTATGAAGTTGACCTTATAAGCAGATATTCGTATCGTGATACGTATCGTATCGTAAGCATCCTACTGCGATCTATATGTAACATATCATGAGGTATGCATATCGTTGCAGCCCTAAGTGCAGAATGGCAGTATTTTGTGTAAATCAGTTTTATTTCATTATATAGCATTCATGGAGTGTATGAAATTATTTTCCATATGTACATATAATGTATTGTAATATTTGCCATACCAAATATTAACTGTATTTGCTACATCCTGATCCTTTGTAATTTTACTATTTTGTTTTCAGCAGACATTAATTTTACATACAGCTCTACAATTGCAATAATTCTGTGAATTCACCAATATGTGATTATGAAATGACATCATAGACTTACAGATGATATTTATTTTACAACAATTATGAAGCAAGTTCGTTCAATATTTACTAACTCTTTTTGGCCTTGATAGATGCTTGTGGGGGTGGGGTGGGGGGTCTCAATGTGGGAGGAAACAGCTGTACCCCAAGATCGCGTCAAAATGGTAGATTTTTCAGCTGGCAGAATCGGCTGGCCCTATACAATCACAGAAGTCTACAGTCTCAAGTTTGAGCTTGAATACAAATTGTTATACTGTGTGAATAGGTGGCAGTTAAAGGATGCTCAAATACCTAGCTTGAGACGTATTCTAAGTGGTTGGGATATGTAATGTGTCGAACCTGGTTAACTTTTGGATTAGATCTGTGTAACCCAGTTTGTTGTTGTCTAGGTCATCTGTTTGATTGTTGCACTGATGAATAATCTTTTCTGTGATATTTTCTTAATAATTAAAAGTGAAATGAAAATTTCCCGAATTATAAGTGATCTATATTATATAAAGTAGATAGTACAGTACACACAAATTGCTGTTTTAAAATCGGTTTGCAAGAAAAGGAAATAATTTGAAAATTTGATATTATCCAGAATCCTTCATATATACTACAACTAGACATAATCTTAAGCTCTGTTTGTTTTTTCTTGATCAGTGTAAAGTTTCTTGATCAGTGTAAAGTTTCTTGATCAGTGTAAAAGAACCAGTACCCACTTCAAAGTGTACCAGGTTCATTTCCTGTGAATTACGCGTCTCTTATGAATGTATCCTCCGGCTGGTTTGTACTATATCAAAACAATTCCTAATGTAGTTTTACAAATGTATACATACATATATGCTTGTCAATTTGTATAAATGTACACAAAGTGTGCCACTATTTCTGTGACAAAAGTATCTGATATGGATTCATGCATATATAAATAACAATGCTAGTGAACTATTTATAGAATACAATGTATAAATATATATACATGTCGTATGTAACATACCATGTGTGTAAATGTAGCCATTGGCTGATCCCTGACCCCTGACCTCCTTGTGTACTTCTATAAACTTTGTGTGGTGTGACACAGTGAAGACAGACCATCTTGATCTGATTATAGATGCTGTAGAATCAGATGATTTTCGCCAAGTTGTTGTGTAACGTTCTCTTCACATGATTAAGTTTCTTAATCTGTTAATATTGTATGAAGGTTTTTTACTGATTTGACGTCACAAATGTAAGTTGATTCAGTTCTTACCATAGGAAACGGGTGTAGCTAGCATGACTATAAGACACTGTATTGTTGAGAGATTCCTAGAGTGTAAGCTGTAAATTGTAAGACTTGTTGCAGATTATTTCACTTTCGTCAAATGGATTATCTGTCAAATTGAATCATTTTCTTATAAATTACTGTATGAAATTGCCCTATAAAATTAATCCTGTTATTTTCTTGTTAATATTTTTTTTACAAATAATAAATTTCCAAAATGTTAGATGTTATATGATGGTTATTTAATTATGTTTCCATTACAGGTGAAGTAACCCAATACACATCACCAAGGTCATCAAGGGAGACAACTCCGACGAAATGGACCGAAGCTGGATGGGATGAGGAAGGGGGACTTGATCAATGGTATAAGGAGGAGGCATGTTTCCACACAAGCTACAATAGAAACCAAAGTGTGAGGAGTAGCCATAGCGACAAGGGACCTGTCAATACATGTCCTGTTTTAAAATCGGTCAATTTTTCCAAATCTGCAGAATTCGTAGAAATATGGGATGATCAGTTTGATTTTTGTGTAAAAGAAGATAATCTGCCAGATCTGGAGGATTTTGATATCACCTCGTCACCAAGTAAACGTAAAAGTCACTCAAGGAATAAAGCTAAGGAAGTGTTTAACAAGAGTAAAGACTATATCAGATCAAAAGTGGAATCCTGTCGTAAAAAGCTGAATGCCTCATCGCTGAATATTTTCTCTCCAGTTCATCGCAGTAAACATGGGAGATTTGTAAACAACTGTTGTGAAGCAAACATCTCCCATCCAGAGGTCAAACAGATTCTAGGACAATCTGGTAACCATGACAACCACAAACAGGTGTCAATGAGCACAACTGCTGATGTTTCATGTCCAAATGGCATTGAAGATTCCTACAGATTTGAACTCATGGTGAATGACACTTCACAACAAAATGTGTCCAATAATGACGCATCATCATGTAGACCTTTACAAGTACAGCACAGCAACGTCAGGGAAGTATGTGTTACCATAGAAACACAAGAATCACTTCATACCTCCAACCCTGAAGAGCTCCAGCACTGTGATACAATGCCTGGACTTATCAGGAGCCAAACAGGTAATCTGTCTGAAGGAACTTGACCAAACTTGACCCTTTGTATCTGTATTGAGTTTAAAGGAGGTGTCCTTGTTTACATATATATATATGTGTGTGTTTGTGTGTGTGTTATCTTATCCTGAGACAATTTTGTCCCCATTTACCTCCCCCTCCCCCCAGTTTTACTTGTTCAACCAAAACATGAAAGAAAGAAAACCCCACTTTTATTAACAAATAGGTATGAAGGATTTAAAATATACATTTTCATTTTAATGGGTCTTTATGATCTTTTCCTGATTAAGAACAATCCCTTAAGTAAAGGCATTCCTGAGAAAGATTCAAAATTACAACCCCCCCTCCCATCCCCACTCATCTCGCTCTCTCCCCAATCCTGTTCACTTGTACATGTAATTTTAGTTCAGATTTTAAAAAAAAATCTTGATAAACATTTTGTGTTTCTGATGGCTAAGCTGATGAGACTTTGCACAGCTAGGCTTTGAACCACTACTTTAAAAAGTATTGTCTGCTTAATAGCATATATGTTATTGCAAGATTTTCAAAATGATTAAAACCGACAATTACGGTTCCCTTTTAACTACCTTGATATAAGATTAAGGCAAGTATTTTTTCTCTCTCAAAATTGAATACTAATATATAATCAAACAATTGTTCAATTTGAATTTGAATTCAATCTTTGTTAAACGGCTTGCAAACTAAGGGATTATATAGATTTTATCTGACATCTGTGATTATTTTAGTTGACAGTTTCCTGTTTCCAATCCTTAGGTTTGACTGCAGATTTAAATAAATGTTGACAAGGTTTACAATTTATCTACAACTACAAGAATATATATCCATTGTGATTTATTGGATTATTACTCAGTGTTTGAAACAATATATTTTTTTTTTGTCAATTTCACATCCTCCTGTTTATTGTCTGATTCACATGTACATCCTCCTAAAATTTAATGACGTATGTTTAAGTTTCTGCATTGTGGTTTTAAATGGATCTCAATTCAACGGAACCAAACGTGGCGTGTGTACAGGTACATTAACCTATAATTATCTTACTAGTTCATGGTTGGGTATAAATACGTGAAAATCAATCTGAAGTGTGTCCAGATGTTAGGGGACTTAATGCCATAAAAATGGGGGTAAGTTTATTTTACAATTACATTGTACCCGGTACTTAAATGAGTTTATGTAAGTTAAATGTAAATAAATATAAAGGTAATTCATGTAAAGTTGACGTGGGACAGGGGTGGACACAACACCACAGCATACTGAGTATTTACCGTAAATATATTGCAATTAGCCCAGGGGGCGAACACATCATCGCTCACTCAAGGAAAGGGGATGGACTTTAAAGCAGAACAATGATAGAGCATTTGTTTGCATTTCATCTGAACTGCAATATATTTGGGTGGGGTTATTACCAGGCATGGGCTTATTGTGATATAAATACGGTAAAGTTACACATAGTCTTTCGTGTGCTCTGTCATATCAAGTATGGAAGCGGAAAATGTTGAACTTAATTATGAAGTATGTAGATATCATTATTATATTTAAACGTATGTACAAAACATCTTGAACTGCATTCAAACTTGTTGTAATCAGTAGTTTGTTTTGCGTAAATGATTTTGATATTAATGAATTTTCTTTGCAACAGCATGATTATAATTAATGAGTTAAGTGTTTGCCTCTTATGTCAGTCAATTCATCTCCTTTTGTTTTAATTATATACATTAGATATTGCTGTTAGAACAACAAGTTAGTTAAAAAATACTTTGTCGCATAATTACAAGACAATATGGAATAGAGCTTCAGATTGAGTCTGAAAAGCTTGTCCGATGTATCAGAATTAAAATGTTAGGGAAATCAACAGAATTTTAATTAAATTAACTTATACACCCCTAAAGTCACATTTGAACCTTTCCAAATCAATGAATAGGCAAGTCCAGTTTTGATATGTAGGGGTGAACAATTAAATATATTAACGGTATTATAGAGAAACTGAAAGAATTTGAATAAAAAATAAAGAAATGAATTGTAATATAATGTATGAAAATATAAAATCTAGAAAACTTTGACGATATGTATAAACGACCATTCATATACATCATATACATATATAATGTATATATACCTCGTTGTATATGGAGAACCTATTGTAGTTTCCCATAGCTTGGTAGCTGTGATTTACATGAATTGATCTACGTATCTGTGAGCTTTAATTGAAACCAATGAGCTATAAATTCTAAATATATCTGTCTACACCTCAATATACCCATGTCTATACATTAAGTGAAAGCTGGAGGCCTGGGGAGATGTTAAATTTGTTTTTATTGAGCGTAATGTCGTATGTGCCCATTGTCCTTTATAACTTTACCTACATCTGTGGGTCAAATGTTTACGTAGTTAAATCATAAATATTGACATTTAAATTTTCACATTATGATATTTTGATGATACCGTAAATCAGTCGTGACTAATAAGTCATGCATATCCTTAATACATCAATAAAAACAGTTTATCCTTAGATTTTTGCTGAATGATAAATATGTTGAAATTCGAAGCAGGTATTTTTAAAGAGACGAGCAATAAATGAATAATATTGTGTCCTATTTTTTGCCCGAAAGATGAGGTGTATACGCTACTGATGATGTACCTGTGTTTTGCAATAAAACAGGGTTCAGTTAACCCTTTCACCACTGTAGACTATAATAGACTCACCCAGATAAATGTATTGTAGAGTCTACTAAAGTTACCGAGGAGTGAAAGGGTCAAGTGTCTGACTAAGCTGCTAATGACAGCCTATGACATATATATAAAGCATCTGTCTTGTTTTCAAAGGCCTCGAGTTCAAATCCCGATCCAGGCAATGAATTTTTCATTTTTATATACATTTTCAATTAAGTTAAACTATATATATATACCCCCAGAATATGATGGTGATATATGGGGTCGTATATGTCTTAGGAGTTAAAGACTTTTTTAAAGGATCATTGGTCGAATAATAACAATACTTTAATTTATTTATACCTGGTGTAAAAAATTATGAAACTATTCTCTTTACAATGTACAGTAACATATCTTATATTCAATATTTAAATTTAATACCAATTCACATAATTAATAGACAATATTGCAAAGACTTTTAATACAGAACAATTCATACATAATTATAGAATATTCTTTTATTCAATTTTATTCAGCGAGAAGTGGAAGTACTCCTTTTACTTTACTCTATAGATAGAGAAGTGGAGATAACTCTTGTTTATAGTTTACCTTATAGAGGTGAGAGGTGAACGTCACTGTTCTGATAAACACTTTAACAGGTGGAGATAACTCTTGTTCATAGTTGACCTTATAGAGGTGAGAGGTGAACGTCATTTTAGTTCACTGTTCAGGTTGACATGTGGAGATAACTCTTGTTTAGTTTACTTTATAGAGGTGAGAAGTGAACATCATTCTAATTTACTGTACAGATTGACATGTGGAGATAACTCTTGTTTACTTCCTTTTTCAGACGCAGAAGTTGATTATGGGGGAACACCAAGTATAGTTGTCCAGGATGATGACATTCCGATTGTAAATATGGACCAAAGGTACAGATACCTATATAAATGTTCTATATCTGTAACACTGTTGAATTTCTCTCACCATTTTTGTGCCAGATTTAGGCCCCCATTTCCAATGGGATTTAACTAGTTCTAGATCTAGACAGGCCCCAGGGCTTAGAGGTAGTGCCAAAAATAAGCCGTCACTTGAAAATGATTAAGATCCCCACCCTATAACCACCTATAAGATCGCAGATTTCAAAGGGACAGATACACATATATATAGTTACAGGATTGCTCCAGAGTCATGTCCCTTTCATGAAGACATTCATTTGTGAGTCATAACTTGGAAACAGATTAGATCCTCACCCCATAACTAACCATGTTTACATGTATACAATTGCTGACCCAGGGGTCTGGCAACACCCATGGAGAATTAGTCTGTGGTTTATAACTTTGAAATGGTTGAGGTTCAAACCCCATAACCATATGTACAATTGCTGGGCATAAGACATGAAGACACTCATGATAATAGAATTGACCTCCTGGGGTCTGCCCACAACCCTAACAGCTTTGTTCCTGGGTTACAACTTGGAAACAATGAAACAGTTAAGATCCTCACCCCATAACCATATATACAAGTGCTGGGCATAAAGAAACAACCACAAGCATGCTGCAAGAGTTGGGCTTGGGACTGCTCCCACCCAAAGGGACTTAGTCCCCAAGTCATAACATGGAAACATTTGAAATCCCCACACTGTAACAACAAATACAATAGCTAAGTCCTCCAGTCATAACATGGACACATTTTAGATCCCCACCCTATAACAATAAACACAATTCAATGTTTAGTATGAAGATTTGGATTCATAAATACTACCCGGGTTTGCTCTATTCCTGGGATCTTACTTCATTTAATGATATATATTGCCAGGATTGCTTAATATCCAGGTTAGTGAAACAGGCCCCCTTGGCCTCTTGTTTGAGTTCAGTAAAGCTCTTACTTTAAAAAGATTATTTCCTACTCTTTAGTGATGCTTTCCTATAAAAAAAGTTAAGGAATTTCTTCGACTTCAGGATCATTTTGTAATGAGGCCTGGTGCTGAGATAGACATGTATGCCTGCCCCACAGTTCTATATCTTACTATAATCTTATACCTACTCTATGTTGATGTATAAACAGGTGTTCACAACTACACACTACAGCAGTAACACCACATAGAAACAGTGCTGCTACAGTCTGTTCCAGGTGTTACCACTAAATTTAACACAGCAGTGACCCTTGACCCTCGAAAATGGAGGTCATAATGATATTATCTTATGTAATAAAGTGTTACCATGACAACTATATTTCCTTGCACACACTCCTTACCCAGTTACATCAGTATTTTTAGGTCACCTGAGCTTTAGCTCAAATGACCTATTGCTATCCGTTTTCGTCCGTTGTCGTCGGTCGTCCGTTGTCCGTTAACATTTTACGTTTCAAACTTAAAGTCAAGTTCTGCTGGGCCGATTGAACTGAAAGTTGGTAGGAATGATCTACCCATGGTCCTGACAAAATGTTGTTATTTTTCAGGTCAATCAGAAATCCAATATGGCCACCACGGCCGCCATTTTGAAAAACTATTTCAAACTTAAAGTCAAGTTCTGCTGGGCAGATTGAACTGAAAGTTGGTAGGAATGATCGACTCATGGTCCTGACAAAGTGTTGTTATTTTTCAGGTCAATCAGAAATCCAATATGGCCACCATGGCCGCCATTTTGAAAAACTATTTCAAACCTAAAGTCAAGTTCTGCTAGGCCGATTGAACTGAAACTTTGTAGGAATGATCGACTCATGGTCCTGACAAAGTGTTGTTATTTTTCGGGTCGATCAGAAATACAATTTGGCTACCATGGCCGCTATTTTGTGAATACCTATTTCAAACTTAAAAACAAGTTCTAATAGGTACTTAACTTTTTTTTACTCAAATTGGTACATATTTCAACAACAAAAATAAATACTGTAGCACTCAGGTGACCGTTAAGGCCCATGGGCCTCTTGTATCATTATGTAATTGATATTTAGTTTTTGACCAAGCTACTCATGCAGCGATTTTTATATAGATCTTTCTAAACTTCTTAGAAAATTACAATAAGACACTTTTTTTATATTTATGTCAGTAAGTTATAGTGAAAAAGATGGCAGTCTCGGACAAGGAAAAAACACAGAGTGGGCTTATGAGGAATAGGGTATTTATTTGGTTTAATACAGTAATATATATAATATACATATACTTGAAACATTTTTGCAGTAAGTGTTAAATATTTTTCACAACTTTTTGTATGTATGTGTGGGGAGGTGGGGGAGGGTTTCAAACGAATGCCTTCCATAGATGATAAAAAGTGTTTGAAATCAAATGTATCGGCCTTAGATGGTAAGATAGTCTGACTTGTGTCTGATAGATCAGACAGGCTGTCCATGTTCAATTCTGACATGGTTATTATTGTAAGGCTTCCACAGGGGCACAGTTTGTTTCCTAATGTACTAGTTGTTTACAAAAAATTAGAGGGCAGATTGAAGTATGAAATTTGTTCTGATTTGTGTTTTGTTAGATCTGGAGAGGTGATGGAAGACAACAGTATGAATGAAGAAGACATTCCAATGGGATCCGAAGGTAAGTTAGTTAGGTTTTCTACATTCTCTCCTTTACTGGTCTCTTTCCTGACTAATCTCTCTCCATCATTTGTCTTGTTTCCTCTATAGCTACCAAATCTTCAGATCCTCCTGTATCCTGTTCAATCCCTACAACTATACCCCATTATAGACCTATAGCTACAGGTCTACACTTTATAATGCCCCTCGTTTCATTTATCATATTGTTTACCGCAACATATTTCAATGTACCTTTTCTTGTTTTCTTACAATTTACCTTTCTTCATTTCTCTCAATTTACCGCCAATGTCCTTTATAACGCCAGAATTTCTCTTAACAAATGGTGGCAATATAATAAGTTTTACTGTAGTATGTTCCATTTGACTTCATCTCTTTGCTTCATCTCTTGTGTACTATTTCACTCCATCAATCTCTATCCATTGTGACCCCTCCCAAATATCCAGTGTTCTAGCTGTTTGACCTTCCCAATATCCTGTGTCCTGTTTTACCCCTTCCCAATATCCTGTGTCCTTTTTTACCCCTTCCCAATATCCTGTGTCTTTTTTTACTCCTTCCCAATATCCTGTGTCCTGTTTTACCCCTTTCCAATATCCTGTGTTCTGTTCGACCATCCCAATACCCTGTGTCCTGTTTTACCCCGTCACAATACCCTGTGTTTTGTTTGATCCCGTCACAATACCCTGTGTCCTGTTTTACCCTTCCCAATACCCTGTGTTCTGTTTGATCCCGTCACAATATCCTGTGTTCTGTTTGATCCCGTCACAATATCCTGTGTTCTGTTTTTCCCCGTCACAATACCCTGTGTTTTGTTTGATCCCGTCACAATTCCCTGTGTCCTGTTTTACCCTTCCCAATACCCTGTGTTTTGTTTGATCCCGTCACAATACCCTGTGTCCTGTTTTACCCTTCCCAATACCCTGTGTTTTGTTTGATCCCGTCACAATTCCCTGTGTTTTGTTTGATCCCGTCACAATACCCTGTTTCCTGTTTTACCCTTCACAATCCCCTGTGTTTTGTTTGATCCCGTCACAATACCCTGTGTCCTGTTTTTCCCCGTCACAATATCCTGTGTTATGTTTTACCCCGTCACAATATCCTGTGTTCTGTTTTACCCCGTCAAAATATCCTGTGTTCTGTTTTACCCTGTCACAATATCCGTGTTCTGTTTTACCCCGTCACAATATCCTGTGTTCTGTTTTACCCCGTCACAATATCCTGTGTTCTGTTTGATCCTGTCCCAATATCCTATGTTCTGTTTGACCCCGTCAGCCTGCTGCTGTTCTTTGTTCTGTTTCCTTCCTTCCCCCCGCCTGCTCTCTATCGTCCTGCTGACTTTCCTGTTCCTGACTTCTGTGTCTTGTCCTCCTGCCATCTGACCCACTGCCCACCTCATGCTCTGCTGCCCACAGCATTTACCAAGGGTCATAGCTCATAGTCAGAAAAGCATTTTGCCAAGGGACATAACTCATGGTCAAAAAACATTTTGCCAAGGGACATAACTCATGGTCAAAAAGCATTTTGCCAAGAGACATAACTCATTCAGAAAAGCATTTTACCAAGGGACATAACTCAAAGTCAGAAAAACATTTAGCCAAGGAACATAACTCTTAGTCAGGAAAGCATTTTGCCAAGGGACATAAATCATAGTCAGAAAAGCGTACCATTATCTTTGTTTTATCTTCTATATATTATAACATAGAATTCTCTAGACAGAACTCTTAGTGATGGAAATCTTCTCAGCGATTATAGGTGTTGCACTGGTATGCTTAACCTTAACTAAAGTGATTGTTTGACTGGTATAAGTATACAGATTGTTACCATTGACATTTACCTCCACTTATCAGCTATTTTACTTACTGGTAGTTTAATTTAAATACAATATTAACATTCTCATGACGTGAAAACATTAATTGCGTTGAAAAACTTTAAATATGTAACAATTATTTTAAGTCATATCATGCATTAGACTCACATTTTATCACTTCATGTCTGAACAATTCTTGGTGTTTATTGATTCTTTTTAACTTATTTGGCCCTGAAGACACATTTGAACTTTTCCAATTCAAAAGGTTGGAATAGTTCATTTTAAAATTTCAGGGGTGAATAAGTTAATTACTTATCCTCGGAAAGATACACCAATGTTCATAAACTTCATTATTTGATATGAGTTCTATATTTTACATTGCAGCGAAATCCTTTGACCAGAAAGAACATGAAAGGTATGTCATATTAAGCCTATTTTCAATGATTGAATATTCTATGATCTTATAGATATATTTTCTCAATTGAGAAATTGAGACTAGAAATATATCTGTGTTTCTGATTTCATTTTAACTATCCGGACCATTTTGTGGTGACTTTTATATAAGACCAGTTAAAGATTGAAACACTGTCAAAAATGATTGTTGTTAAATACTTTACAAGTTGTCAGTTTTGCCTACCTATGTACATGTACCTTGAGCTTCCTTAGCGCATTGTGTGAAAACCAAAAAATGAAAAGCCACTTGAAATTGAAATTGTGTTCAATCTCAAGGCATTGTGCATCTTTTGATGTGTTTCTTAATTGTAAGGCCACTGCCTACATTTTATTGGCATAAATATTATTTTTTTAGACGTAATTATACAGGTAAAATAAAATTCATTTGATATAAGAGGATGAAGAAGTTTTGACAGTTGACAAAATGATTGCTGTATACTTTTGTGACAGAATTTTATGCATTATTGCAATTTGATGAGATTTGTATTGTTTCTGATAACAATATAAGTTTAACTTATTCACCCCTGAAGAAACATTGAACTTTTCCAATTAAAAGGTTGGAATAGTTCATTATGAAATGAGTTAATCCTGGTATTTGGCAATAGAGTTATTGATACTTCCATGTATGGAAAATTTAGTTTCATCCTACAGGAAATTTTTCAGACTGCACTTCCGGTATATCAAACAGTCATTATATGTTATGGGAACTTCTTGACAGCACTGCCACCTGTAATACAGTAAAACCCCACTTCCTCGAACTCGGTTTATTCAAATACTCCTCATTCGTCGAACAGTTTGTTTGGTCCCAACCAAGTTCGTACATATTCTTTGTAAAGTAACCCCGGATTAGTCCAACTTTTATTCCTCGAATACGCTGTATTTCTCGAACAAAAATGTGTCCCAGACTATTTGATAGATATTTTAGCTGTGTATCACACCGGCACTGCCGCGGACATGTCTCGAGGCACAGGCTGCGGTCCACACTCATTGTGCGTGTACAGATGTCGGCTGGACATCAGATAATTAGAGGATTAATGGCAGTATCATTAAGTAACGGTACCATTACCCTGTTGTAGCTGCATTATCATTTTGGGTGCATATTTATTTTTTCCAGACGTTGTTTTGACATCAATGATTTGGGGGAAGTGTTAATTCACTTAGTGTGTAAAACCTCATTTCGGCGTGGCAATATTAAGCTGAAATCACATACATGTAGTAGATTCTCCACCAACTTTAAAGAAATTCAAACCTGCCTACGTCCTGATTGTTAATTTCGTTATCAATCAACATTATGAAAACAAGGATTTAAGATTTTCTCCATTTTAAAATGATTGAAGAGTTCCTCTTATTTTGATATTTTATAAAATTAACGTAGTCGATTACAGTATGGCGGACTATGTCAAAACGACAAGTACGTTTCACATGCAGCTTTTTAATTTTATTTACTTTCTTAATACCGGCGGCTGTATTTATATGTTTTCATTGTAGTCATACTGTCATATTGTTCTATAACAGGAATTTTGTGACAGTGCTGCCCCCTGTAATATATATATTGTTCTATAACAGGATCTTTGTGACAGTGCTGCCCCCTGTAATATATATATTGTTCTATAACAGGATCTTTGTGACAGTGCTGCCCCCTGTAATATATATATTGTTCTATGACAGGAAATTTGTGACAGTGCTGCCCCCTATAATAAATATATTGTTCTATAACAGAAACTTTGTGACAGTGCTGCCCCCTATAATAAATATATTGTTCTATAACAGGAACTTTGTGACAGTGCTGCCCCCTATAATAAATATATTGTTCTATAACAGTAACTTTGTGACAGTGCTGCCCCCTATAATAAATATATTGTTTTATGACAGGAACTTTGTGATAGTGCTGCCCCCTATAATAAATAAATTGTTCTATAACAGTAACTTTGTGACAGTGCTGCGTCACCTGTAATATATATATTGTTATATGACAGAAACTTTGTGACAGTGCTGACCTCTATTATATATATATATCGTTTTATGACAGGAACTTTGTGACAGTGCTGCCCCCTATAATATATATATTGTTCTATGACAGGAACTTTGTGACAGTGCTGTCACCTGTAATATATATCATTTTATGACAGGAACTGTGTGACAGTGCTGCCCCCTATACTATATTTTGTTCTTTGACAGGAATTTTGTGACGGTGCTGCCACCTGTGATGGACAAACGACTGCAGTGGCTATTGGATGCCCCTCAGAACCTCAGCTTTAATTCAGATCTTTCACAGAACACAACAACCAGCATGTCCAGTGACATCAGGTAGGGCTTGCACCGTTCTATCGGGATATATAATCCAAATAGGTTTTAGAAGTCTGTGAGAATTTACTTAAATAGGTCCCAGAATTATTAAATATATAACAGGTCTTTCACCCCTGAAGACACATTTGAACTCTTCCAATTCAAAGGTTGGAATAGTTCATTATGAATTTTGAATTTTCAGGGGTGAATGAGTTAATAAAATGTTTATTGTAAGTTTCTGAGGGTCTTGTAATAATATAATCTCTGAAATTGAGCATCTGCACCTTGAATTACTTTCTAAACCAATATTGTTGAAACTTCCTGATTATCATTAATACCCTACATAGTGGTACACTAGCAGTTTATATGGACTTCCACTATATCTACAGGTCTTATGTCCCTTTACTGATTTTCGATTTTAGAATACTTTTCAAAGTTCTGCTACTTCCCTTCTTGACTGATATTTATAAAACTATTGTACACTTGATCAATACCCTAGGTTTAGTTGTGCGCTTGTAATTTGTTTTTGATTTTTATTATTTTGTAACAGTTATGCCCCTTTCTAATTTCTGTTGATAAATTCTGTCGAAATTAAATCCTGAACTACCCTTACAGGAAAATGTATGTAATAGTTTTTTTGTTTTTTTTACATGGATATTATGTTAGTCTGTTGCTGTTACAAATATCAGTGTTAGGTGTTACGATGCAGAAAGTTACAATTAAAGTTAAACTGAAATTGTTAATTATGATCATAATTCTTCAATGACGAAAAACCTTGCTATTTTGCAGTTTGGACATGCTACTGAACGATCGTAATGAAGATCCGGAAGATATTCTGATGGGGCTGGGATTTGGTGATTCTGTTGAAATTGAAGACAATATTCAGAGAATCCCGGAGCGTTTCTTGAATGAACCTTCAGAACTAGATGGTATTGATATTTCCGGCCTCATTAGGGAGAATCCCGAGCTGAGTTCTCTATTCCAAAGTTACATAGACTCTCAGAATAGCAGCGCCGACCTCTCTGTCCAAGGTCTCAATTCTAGCGGAACTACAGATCGTAAGTCTAAAGATACTTTCTTAGATTTTGCCATTCATAACCTTTTATTTAGGTGTGTACCCAAACATTTTATTGATCCAAGTAGAATTTCAGAATTTTCAGTATTGTGTTCCAACCAGCAAGAAACAGAAGATGATTTTAATGCTGAATGTTATGAAGATGATGACCTTGAACTTGATTCATTAAGTTCACATGACCTTGCAATATCACAAGGTTACCAGAATTCTACCAAGTTACCAAGGCCAACAAGTCTGGACATCCGAGTTGACAAAGACCTTGATATTCCTGATTCACCAAGGAGCTTGTCTTCATGCTCCAGCGTATCAACAACAGATTTATATAACAATGTACTATTGTCTCCGGATGAGACACTTGTATAGGTTGTGATACTTGGTATCGCTACCAGACCTAGTTTAACCCTTTCACCACTGTGGACCATAATGGACTCATCCAGACCAATTCATGATAGAGTTTACTAAAGTTGCATAGGGGTGAAAGGGTTAATGATTGGAGTTTTACAGTCTGGTCAAGTTTTTATCAGGGTTCTCACCAGGTCTGGTTACCATGGAAACGTCTGTCTCTTCATGGTCCTGTTAATTTTATACACTTGTTAGTACTTGCACTTTCTTGTATAGCTTCCATTTTTACCGTTTATTGATAGCATATTTCTTGTTTTAAATTTTGAGGTTTCAAAAGGTTTCATTTTTTATGTTTTTTTACAATTCCAAAACTTCAATGAATATTTAACTCTTAGTAAATTATTTTGATACTGTTACCTGTATGTGTTTGTGTAGTGAAAACATGATAATTTCTCAAAACTTAATAGGAGACAATTATAAGATGTAATCACAAACACTTCAAATTCTTTTGAATAGAAAATGTTTGACAATCACTATACTCTTTATGCATTTTGTTTAGCGTTTCACCTGGTCCAAAAGACTGATGTGTACTATTGTTGTAATGTGACATCTTTTATCTATTGTGCATCTATCGTCCACCTTTATGACAACCTTTTATTTGAATGACTTCAATTCACATGGCATATTTACTATTTAGTCTCCAGCTTGAATTGGTGAAAGGTGCAGATCTAATTTGTTCAAACAAAGGACCTTGACCCACATACAAGGTCACAGGGTCAAATATTTGAAATATTCTTACAACATCTTATAAGTCATGATTTGTAATTAGTTCAAATAAATTACCTTGATTCATATCCTTCCAATTCCTGATCAAATTTCCAGGTGAACGATACAGGCCTTATAAGGGCCTTTTGTTTAACGTAAGTTTGTACTGAAATATATGTAGGTATAGCTAGATGGCTGTTTTGCTCTACCAGTATAATATTATATCATACATTCCCAACACTTATATGCATGTACAAGTTAAACAATACTGACATAAATATTCATATAGGCATTGTAAATGTTCATGTCTACAGGTATTTGATGAAAACACTGACCAATATTCAATTTTGTTTAAAGATGAAATGAAAGTTTTGACAGGTAATTGTCTGTGTTCCATTGTCTATTAGATAGAGATCATCCCCTAATGAGCCAGTACTTGTAAAATATTCGTTAACTTCTCTGATTTCTACCATGACTATATTTTATGACCTGTAGCTGCTGTTGTAAACTGTTATATATTTGACCTTGACTGCTGTGATAGTGACCTTGACATGTAAGTGTTGTTTTTGTAGATTGTTTAACCTTCCAATATCAGCATAAGCGACAGTGACCTCTACTAGATGTAGCATGGTTGACATTTTGAGGCAACATATATATTTCCTGATCTCTAAAACTACAATCTGGTTTGGTCTTGTCTACACAGCTGTACAAAAGAGTAGATACATCTTCTGGAAACATTGTCGTGATTTACACTTTTGGTCTTTACAGATGTCTTCTCAAGACACATTATTTAAATGATGCAGTACCATCAATTTATCTCATTCACCCCAGAAGACACATTTGAACTCTCTCAATTTAATGGTTGGAATATTTCATTATGAAATTTCGGGGATGCATGAGTTAAAATGCATTATTACCATTGGAACTATTTAACAAATGTTAAGTAATTCTTACTGTTGTATTTGATATATATAACACATTTTGTGGTGCATTTACCATAATTACAGGTTGACCTTTAGAACAAAAAAATGAAATTTAGAAGTCAGACTTTAGACTGCTCAAATATGAATACCATATATCAGGGGAAGTAATTCTAAACCAGAAAGACTCCTTTTGGTGCTTGAACTTCTGTAGACAAGGGAGGATAGGATACTCCGTCATGAGAAGTAGAAAGTTTTTTCTAGATCGCTTGTTGTGTAGTAGCACCTTTACATGCTTATCATTTCACTGAACACCTTTGCAGGTTTTCAAGTAGAAGACGCACCTGAAAAAAACCTTGCTGTCTAGAGATTTATTCAGCCCACTTGGCCCTTAAAAATGCATTTATTAGGGCCCCACACAATGTCCATCTGTCTGTCTGTCTGTCCACACTTTCGTTTCCAGAGATAATCTTGGAATCCAAAAGAACTGTATTTCTGAAATTTGACATGGTGATAAAATGTGAAATGTAGATGTGCAACAGGGAATTAAATTTGTTTGAAGGTCAAGGTCAGGTTGCTGTTGCTTTTCATTCAAGATGACCATTGACTGAAGTCTTGCATGTGTTGCAAGTTAAAATAACTGTTTTCAGAAGATGTACCTGGGTATATGTATGTAGTCGCTCAAGACACGTCTTTGTGGAAGGTGTTACGTCTAATCAACCAGTAACTGTTGTTTATCATGGGTGTCTGACCCCACAACCAGTAACTGTTGCTTATCATGTGTATCTGACCCCACAACCAGTAACTGTTGTTTATCATGGGTGTCTGACTCCACAACCAGTAACTGTTGTTTATCATGTGTGTCTGACTCCAGCTTCTTTTCTTTTATGCATGCAGTTGTGTTACAAAAATTCTGGCCATAAATAACTTTCCGTTTGATGCAATAGATTTTAGAGGATAATCCTACTGTATTTTGAGATTTGTGGTGGTATATCGTGGTTATACTGTTGAAAATTATGTTGAACAATTTTATTTCATTTTTCGATTCTTTCGGCATTTTTTAATCGATTCTGAATTTTCCAAAAAAAACCAAAAACACCAAGAATGTACAAGGGTGCAATTGCTCAAACAGCTGAATTCCATAAGTCGGGATTTTGACCAGTTAAGTGACGGAAAGTGCCAATCAAGCTATTGTATAAGACTATAAGGTTAAACCAACATCTTCGCAACTTAATCATTGGCAAAGTGTTGATAAACAATTGGAATAGTTGAAGAAAATTTTATATTTATTTAAACATTTCCAACTCTATATCATTTTTACTATACTGTAAAGTATACTGAGGAAATGGTATTGAAGTAATCAGACAATTGATGGGTAATTAGATAGTGTTGCTTGTTGTTGTACATTTATCGGAATATACAGGGAACTGAGTTCTGACTAATTCTGTGTCTTTTCCTTCTTGTCTATTTGCCACAGAGGTGCAATGTTGATAGATTAGCTATTTCTTAACACCTTAAGAATGTTTTTCATTTCCTGTTAGTGCAAAGTAATTGGATTTAGATTTTCAGAGGAAGGTCAGATGGGGATAGTGGGGTAATGGATTTATAGAAGTTAAAGTTGAACTAACATTCGTTGTTCTAGATCACCTTATATAAATATATATGTATGATCTAACAGAGCTATATTTTCAATTATAGTATATCAATTCTATCTTCTTGTAATATGATGTATATGTACATGTAACTGTTCTGTTTCACTATGTCTTGAAAAAGGACCGGATCGCTCCGAAATTTGACAACCTAAACTTGTCCACACTGTTGGAATTACTTCTTTGCCCCATATGATCTAACAGATGTATACTGTCAAGGGCTGGCTAGTTGATTGTATACATCTAATTCAATGTCAAGGTATTCGTTTGTACCTGGGTTATATTGCGACTAATTTCTTTATAAATAAACATGTACATAATGCCAGTTCTTTATATATTGGAGTCGGCAATGACAGGTCTCATAATAAGTTAATAAAAACTAGGAATCTTTTCCACGAAGACAAGCTACTTTGTTTATACATACAATTGATATTGACAAATTTCTTTAGCTAATCATGGGACCCATCAATCAAGTAGAGAATTAATCATCACTATAAAGTGGTGACTAAGAGAAGCCTGTAGCGTCCTGATTTACAACTCTAGTCTGGATCACAGTTCGTATATCAAAGTGTACAGAATTACTCAGCATTTAATATCTTTTTAATTACTCTGTTGTTTTTAATTCTGTATAAATGTCGAATTCGTTTGCATCGTTGGATCGTCTGCTGGATAATCGAACTACTTCGTAGTGAAACGGACGTAAAATCACTCAAGAATTGTTGAGTCTGAGAGAGTTAAAGAATCTGCCAGAATTCTGTTTGATTTGTCAAATCTAAAATGTTCAGAACATGGTGGAAGTCCTATATTTACGTTATTTGATGTATAAATCTTGACAGAATCAAGTTTATGTTTCAGTATCATAAAATGTCTGTCTGTCTAATGTCGATATAAAGTCTGATATATATGGCCAAGGGACATACAGCCTACCTGATATATAACACAAACTTTATATACCACAATTGATGACAAGGGTAGGATACAAATACTGTAGTGGGTACTGTTTTGATTGGCTAAAATGTATCCACAGAGACTTTCTATACGCCCGTCAAGTTTGACGGGAGTATTATGGTATGGCGTCGTCCGTTTGACAATATCCTCCTAGTCATTTTTCGACCGATCTCTTTGAAACATTGGTATACATTATATTCATCATATGAAGTTGTGCTTACCTGAACAGAATTCAGATTCGATAATTTTTCCAAAAGTTATTGCCATTTGTTCATTTCAGTATTTGATGTTTTGTCTGGAAATTTTCTCCTATATTTTGTATAGCATGTCAGCTAACCATGCACTCTTATAATGATGCA